GTGCCTGTTTCTGTCCAATCAGGGAGTGCATCCTTGTGTACATGTATATAAATGTGTGCGTTTGTGTGAGAGACTGTGTGTGTGTGTGAGAGAGGGAAATGGCCTAGAGTGTACGTGCGCTCGTACTGGTGTTTGGTGGAGTACGTGTTGTGACAGTAGACATCATGCTGACTTCATCTCAGTCATCACTGCTTGTCAGCCTGGAGCTTTGGGCACCAGTGTCAAGCTGTTTTACATACTCGTGTCTGCTCTGAGTGTGTTTTTTTCTGTATCGGTATTTTGAGACAACACTGTCCTGCAGGGTGTATTCACCCCAACAGACTAATTTAACACAACATCCCTCCAGCTAAGGAGATGACTTGATTTTCTCATCAACAGTAACTTCTGGGCTTTTTGTCGGCTTCTCAGTGACAGATATTCTCTAAAACTACTTGATTTGGGCAATAATATCCAGCCAGCAAACATATCCATATAAAAAAATGTGTTGATGAGGGAATTGGAAGTCCAATCTTCCTGATCACGGCAGGTGTGTTTGGAGTTGAAGCTGTAGGTGGGGCAACCATGATTTCCTGACCCCACCTAACACTTCTCCTAAACTCTACCGAGCCTCCTTGTGCCTGTCTTGTCTTTCTCCATTTCTCTCTGAGTGTGTCCGACCTGGCAAGCTTCCTTCTCTCTTTGTTCCACAGTGACAGTCCTGATGGCAAATTGATTTCGACTGTGTGAGAACAGACATACAGACAGACACAGACAGCTCCGGATAGCACAGGGGCCTCTTCCTCCCCATCTTTCCCCCTCCACTTAGCCTCCCTCCTGTCCACTTATCTCCACCTCTCCTCCCCTGCCTCCACACACACCCCTTCTCCAAGTGGAAGAGGCCAGTTTCATCCCTCCTTTCTGTCCTCTCTTCCTCCCCGGGTCCTTCCTTTCCTCCTTCCGTCCGTCCTGGGTGCTGCTGCTGGTGGTGTCGGTGTGGACAGTAGCGGTTGGTGGGTGGAGGATTGCGTTGAGCGAGAGAGCCAGAGCGGGGCCTACCTGCTCGGCATGCAGCGATATGGACTCTGAATACTCTATCTCTGATCACAGTCCACCATCACGGACTGATCTCTCAAGAGACTGCCTTTGCTACTGCTTGTCTTTCATGCATGTACATGGTTGTGTCATTTTGTCAAACTAAAGGACATGTTCATGTACTGTACAAGTGCCAAAAGACTTCAATGTCATTGTACTAAAGCCACTGGCTGAATGGCCTTTTTAAGCACACGTGGGCCCAGTATTATCGAGTTCCCACCCAACACACACATGCTAAAAAAAAAAAAGCTTTGTTCAAAGTAAGGCTGTGCAGCAGATTACTATGTTTCTGTTCTGAGAGATCCCGTAAGTCGCGCTGTGCTTCCTTGTGTCAGTGCTACACTTAATTTTCCGTCCAGAGGGTGTGTGTGTGTCATATTTGCCTTACTTTGCTTCTTTTTTTCTATTAAACACATACTTTATGTGCAGTGAAGCAAATCTTCAAATTGAGCTTCAAGAATATACAGTATATATATCTCTCTCTATATATATATATATATTTAAATTGTTTCCGTCAGTCCACCAAATTGCACTGTATTATGATCATCGCAAAAACAAGTTTTCACATCAATTTCCGATTAAACTTTCTACCCTCAGCCCCAAAGAAACTGTCTTTTTGCCATTCTTGGCTGAACTTCCTGCCAGAATTGTCAGTTTCAAATAAAATGCGTCACTTCCAATATAACCTTCAGTTTGGTCTTTTTTCTGAAGCTACAGTGAGTTTGGAGGGGTCTTCTTGATCTTCTGTTTGAGTATCCTCAATACCAGCTGTGAATTCGTTTTTAGGTTAACTGACCACGGCTTTTGCAGCTCTCAGTGTTATTTATGATTGTATTCCCTGAGTGGCTATGTAGGTTTTGGTCTTTTCTTTTAAAAAATTATTGTCCTTGTAAAAAAAAAAAAAGAAGAAAATATTGCCAGAAACAATGACTGAACTACTGATTAGTTGAAGTGTTTATCTTATGCATGCTGTGGAGGGCAACCAGAAAAATGTGATACTGAAAATTGACCTTGAATGTATGGTGACTTTTTACAAAGGTATTCTAAATAAAACATATCTCTATATATTAATAAACAGTCTGGTCTGACGCGAAATCTGTTCTGTCAGTAACAATGGCATTTTCAGTTTTGTTGAACATTTTCCTTGTTTCAAGTCATGGCTCTGAACTGATCCCCCCCCCCTTTTAAATGTTTAAATTAATTCCTTTTTTAAAACGTCCACCCTTGTGTCAATCATCTCAAGCAGCATGCAGTTTCATCCTTACCCCTCCCCCAGTAACACCCATAGCATCGGTGGTGCTCTCTGTGTCACTTAAAAAACAGAAGACTGTCAGTGTGTGTGGTGGTGTTGTGTACAGTGTGTGTATTGTGAGTATCTGAACTCTGCCTGCCTGCTTATCTTTCTTTTTTTGGTTGTGTGTTTTGATATATATTTTTGCCTTGTGTTTGAGTTGTATTTAGGTAATAGACGTAATAATGCAGACACAACTTCAGAACACCTGCCTGTTGATTGCATTGCATTTACATTACGTAGTTTAGGGTTTGAAAAAGAGCATACAGTATACGGCATGTTGAGCATGAAGTGTGTACTTCTGTTTTCCATCCCTCATTTCAGTTACAGTTCTTATTATCAGCCTACAGTATGTTCATCTTGCACCAGACTAACCAGCAGTGTTGTTACAAAATGTGACCCATGCATGATCTGAGAGGTGAGCCATTCAAACCCAAAGGTTCTCTTTACCTTCCAGTTTGGGTCCAGAATTGTCCCGGTTCTGAGGGAACAGGACCTCCGTAAGTCACCAGCCTCCATCTTTCAGCCAGCCAATCACTTTTCTCCTTCTCTCTATCTCTATTACTGCCCTCTGCTGTCATTGGCTGTCTGGCTGCAGTAGGATGCTGGGAATCACTGGTCTTTTCTGTCCTTTGGCCTACATGGATGTGGCAGCATTTGATTCTGTCAGTCCAGCAGGTCTTGGGTTGTAAAAGAATAAATATTCTTTTTATTTTCTTTCTTTTTTTAGAAAAAGTCTGTGTGTATCACAATATCATACAAAGGAGACACTAACCCTGCATGTGTGTCTATTGCAAGCTATTTTTGTTATCTTTTTTTTCTTTTCATATTTTACTAGAATTTTCTCACTACATGCTTGCTAAAACTCACAGTAGATGCTGCAACTGTTTGCTCAGCTTACTATAAGAAACAAAACTATAGGAAGGATAATTTATTCTGGGTGTGGTTACGTAGTTGACCATGTATCTCTCTAAATTTTGTCATGTGTTCAACCTAACTGTCACTGTTCCTTGTCTCACCCCTCCTCTCCCCACAGTGACCGTTCCTTGGAGGTCTACCTCCGGCCCACCTTCATTGATGACCGATCTGCGCCCATCTTCTACTAACAGCCTGCTGTCCTCTTTTGTCCACTAATGGGCCCTTTTTTAAGCGGAGAAACATTGGCATGTTTGTATAATGTTATGACAAGAGGGCCCAGCAGTGTGACTTGAGGGGGAAAAAAATCACCTCAAGGAACAAGTTACACTACACTAAGAATCTAGTTTCTTTACCGTGTAAATTCACTCGGAGACTTTCCGGTTAATCCTCGTGATGTTTTGCGAAAGGCTTTCACAAACATTGAATGTCTCAGCCTGAGCATTCAAGTGCAAGTGTGACAATAGATTTTATTAGTTATTTAGATCCCACCAGTTGTGGATAAGGTATGGCTAATAGGTTTTACTTGTGATGCCGTCACATTCTTATTTATCTGCACTTCTACTATGGGATTTCTTTTTCTCTTCAACACTATACACTGTAAATTTCATTTGAGGATTATTTACATTAATGAGCAGTGAAGGCACACTCCGCATTAGCTGTTTAAGTGAGGCTTGAGGGTGAATAGAAGATGGATGATTAGTTTTTAGCGCATCACTGTAATATGCACTGAAGACAAAGTGTAGATTGGATACTGGCACAGATAGCTAGAACTGGACAGTTGGTGAGTAAACTATAATTCTGCTTTTGTTAAGTGATATAGTACTATATATTTACTAGTTGTAATACAGTATACCCATATTTTCAATGTGGGAACTGTGCCTTCTACTTTTTATTAAAACATATGCTTCATGCAGCATTGACCCAATCATCCTGTAAGGTGGTTTGAGGGCATATGCATCACAGTTCAATATGTATTTTTGATATTCCTGAAAATAGTTTTGTTTTGCTTGTAATGTTTTTGTTTTGTTTTTGTTTTGCTTAGCAAGCTCCAGTACAGTGCAAACTCCACCAAAATATTACAATAATTTTTTGAACTGCTGTTCTTTCCTTCTCTTCAAGTTTCAGTAATATCTAAGCTTCCAGATAGCTAAGAGATGAAATAAAGTACATGCTTTTTATTTTTCGCTTTGAGGGAGTGGTAGCTTATCAGATAAGGTACAGTATTATCATGGCTTGTGATCATTCATTCTCAGTATTATACACTCATCTGGGAGAAAAGAAAAAAAAACAGGAATTTATCTACAGTATGATGTGTGGGAATAATAGTCAAAACTGTATGTGATGGAAAAGCAATAATGTGTATGATTGTGTGAATGAGCTAAAAGGCCTCTTACACTGCAATAAATCAACAGTTGCTTCATGAGAATTCATTTTTCCATGGATGAGTCATTTACACTGAGTGATATGATCAGGCTTTTATTACGCAGCAAGTTTCAAATGCATTTTTTACTTTTATATAGCTTTCATTGTCCATTTCTCACTTTTGTCCCTGTTTGTAATATATCTGTACTGTACAGAAAGTGCATATAAATTATCTGTCCAAAATAAATCTAAATGGGCATAAACTTCATACCTTCATGTGTTTTGTTGTTTCATGTATTTTTCGCAGAGAATTGCACTCCTTTGACATCCCTGCAGATAAATATATCACAGACACAAGAAGGGAAAAAGTATCTGGATTTATTTGTTTGGGATAGTACAATAGCAATGAGTGAGGGGAAAAATGGAAACAGCAATGTTGTTACTACCGGTGCACGGAACAGCCCACCTCACCGTCTCCAAAGGTGTCTGCCACTTTAGCCAATAGGCTTTGTAATATCTCTTTGGCAAATTTGAGAGACTGTCATCCTGGATTGCATCTTTTCAAATCGTACAAAAATACTAGCAAGGTTTTCTCTTCTTGCAGAACTTAAAGGGCAAGGTGAGAGGAAACAGAATTGGCACTTTGAGCTACAGAAGGATAGAGAGGGGGAGGGAGCTGTCGATACAGCAGTAGTAATTCAAGTCAAGCTACCTGCTACATGTTGATAAAACATTCATACAATATGTGAGATATGTCATATTTTGAATGTCTTTTTTTCTTTTTTTTGTACACCTCAGACCCGAGCATTCAGCACAAATGTAATAGAATACATTATGTATGAGAACATGGACAATACATAGACGTAGAAAAGATGCATAAAGATGATACTGACATTCAACATTTATGACATGACACCGCTGAATTGTGTTGAAACGCCTCTCTATCCCTTTGGTGTCACTCTATTGCTGATGAAGTTAATACAAACCAAGCTAATATGCCACAAAGTAAAGTGAATCTGTAGCTGGCACTGTGGACACAAATAGGGAACCTCACGTTTAGATATTTCATTCCGGGGTGGGGAGATGTAGAGCAACAAAACCATCACTTCTACAAATAAAGACCCAGTTTAGCTATACAAAGTGCTTCAGACAGATATGGTAACTGTAGACATATATTATAGGTCACTGTTAACCAGAGTGAGTGGTGGTGATAATTAAGGAGTGAACACTGTATTATGTTTCCTTTAAGATAGCACACCGAGTTCCGTCATCGATATGAGTTGGAAATGACTTGGATGAAGGGACAAATTAAGTTTCAGCACCTCTATCTTCAAACACCATCACCACCACCCACGGCTGTTAAAAAGTCAGATTATGTGTTTGGAAATCCACCACAGCTTTCTTCTTATGTGACAATCAGCAAGCAGTGTTCTCTGGCTCCAACAATGAGAGCTGTAACAGTCTTTAAAAATGCCAGATCAAGGGTAAGCAGATGGACCAAGGCAGCCAACGAGAAGAGTAGCAATGAAGCTTGTCATTTCAATAGTTTTTCTCTCCTTATTTTTCTTTTTCTTTTAAATTAACAAATTTAATGACCCGTAAGGTGACCAAAAGAAATGTATGCTGCATTGAACAAATAAGTTATTATCATATACTGCATGTTAAAACTAATATACTGATGATATCTATTTATGCAAACGATATGATCTGACAACTCTCCTTGTTGTCTCAGTCAGGTTGCCATACCAGCAGCTATCGTTCTTTCTTCACAAAATAAAAAACAAAAACAAAGTGTGCAAATCATTGAGGGTCTTCCACTACAATATGAGGCACTGTCTCATAAAGGGTCACCAGGGTCAGATGCCCCAAACATTGATAAAAAATAAAACTCTGTAAAACATCTAGATATAATAATGCTGCTTTTCTGGGTCAAGAAGGACCAGGACTCATCCTCTTCCAGTCAGGACCAGGGGGCACTCAATCTTTTGGACTATCTTCACTGCTCCCTGTTGGAAACAATTGAAAATAATAAGTATTTTAGCTTTCATTGTAAGAGAGACAAATCAAACGGCTTAAAGTGATACTCTTGACAAATTTTAAACTCTAACTGAAATCACACTTAGTCAGACACTTTTTTGCAGTCAAAAATGTATTACCCATTTCATTTTTATAATTATTGAAAAGACACCCCCACACATGCATCTAAACAGAAAAAAGTTATGTTTGCAGGTACATTAACATGCTGTTGTATTGTGCTGCAGCTAGCTAATTAGATATCAACCCTCCAAACCAATGTTTGGTTGCTTGTTCATATAGTAAGTTTGTAAATTAGACAAGAAGGAGACTTTAGCAGAAAAGCTAATGTGGGTTGTTGTTGAACGTCTGCTGCTCTTGTGTTGTGGCTGTGACTGTCAGTGTGACCGTCTGCTCTTCTTATGATAGAACGCTGACATTACTGCTTAGGGCACGCTTGATTATAAATGAAGCAATTTGATTGGCCATTTGGAAGCAAGTTCTCTTGTCTACGTAGACAAGCAACTAACAGTACTGTGACAGATTAATGCAAAGATCATGAAATCTCATCCCTTCTGGTTTCTGAGATTAGAGATTAGCACAAAAAAAAACAAAAAAACGTAATTTTTTTTTTTTTTTTGGCCTCTAAATACTTCGGATCGTATTTTCAGTGCAAATAAATTGACATTATACATGTAGTCCAAGTATGAAAGACAGTTAATACAGACCTGTTGCTGAGGCCATGTGGGGGTCGGAGACATGTGTGATAGAGAATCGTGAAACCATAAAACGGTTAAGTGCTACAGCGGCTGGTTTAGGAGCCTCAGGACTGTTGGAGGTGGATGTGGGTGAGGACTTGGGCTCAGGGATTGTGTCAGGTGAGGGCGTGCGTGGCTCAAACGAGAGGTCATCTTTCAATTCATATTCTCCACCTGAATGCACACAGATACAATTACATTTATTGTGAACAATCTGGGATAATTCAACAAGGATGTAACATTTTATGTCCTTGATTAGGCATGAGATGAAATGAAAATTACATGTCACAATTATTCTGGCCAAAATAAAGTGAAGTAAAGTGAAAATATCGTGAATGGCAACATTCAAGATATTTTCACTTTACATTTTGTTAAGAAACAAACATTTTGATTGCATAACAGATGAGACAACTCAGACCTTCTTTAGTTTGGAATCCATTCTATTTCCACACATACTGTTACATTTTTTGTTGTGGGGGATACAATGGGCAAGCTGAGCCTACTGCCACTGTGACAGTCTTGTCAATGACTGGAAAGATGCAGCTTCCCCTTGTGGCAATTTCAAGTCACCTCTGAGGATATTTATCCCAATAATGGAATTCACCACAGTACACTGGAGTGTTTTTTTTTATCACAATACATGATAATATTATATACCATTCCATTCTTATCCTTGACAAACCCACCCTCTTCTGAATTGTTTCCATCTGTTTCTTCAGAAACACAGTATGTTTCACAGGACTGAGCTTTAAGTTCAGCTTCAGGTTCAGGGTCAAGTTGCAGCAGGTGGTCTGAGGTTTTTTCCTCTGAAGATTCCTGCTCACTGGACTCTGCTCCTATGGAGAAGGCGAAGTCAGCCAGCTCTCCTGTGGGGCTCTCCTGGAAGTCACAAACAAATATAGTTCACACATACTCTAAAGCAATAAATTAATCTAACCGATGAAAAATACACATTGCACAACTTTGACCTAATAATGTGTCATACCTGGTCAAAAAGGAACACTGTAACATCATCAAAAAAGGACACCGCTTTTTTCTTCCTCTCCAATTCGTCACAGAAGGACTGGGTGAGCAGGGTGGGCATCTTCAGGAGGCTGCGGAGGTGTCTAGCCCTGCTGCAGTCACTTACCACCACTGGCACTGTGGTGAAATCCTCCTCACTCTCCTCACTGTCTTCATCTTGAATGTTGTAGGTCCGCAACTCTTCATCAGACTCACTGTCATCTGAGTCGTCTTCATCCTCTGCCTCCTCCAGCGGAGCTCTCACTGCTTCTCCGCACAGCTCCAACAATGACGAGGAAGAAGACAGGTCAGTATGATCGTTGGATTCTTCACATAAACTGTCCTGTGAGTCACATTCCTCAGCATCTATGTCCTCAAAATCTTCCTCATTTATTCTCACAGCCTCCCTTCTGTTCTCCGTTTCTTCCTGGACATGATTGAATTCGGGCAGCTCTTCCTCCTCTGTGGATGCATCACCATTTTCTTTTTCTTTGGGGGCTTCATCTCTGTAATCAATTATAGTGGAGTCAGAATGCAAAGACTGGACAGGGGAGCAATCTTCTGCTCTTCTGTTCCCCTCCTCATTGTTTCCTGAGGCCTCCTGGACAGTGGAAGAGGGTTCAGACCCAATGGAGGAATTAAGCTCTGAGGAAGGCTCCTCTCCTGAGTGCTCTGTGTCCAGCCCGAGATCATCATCTGCAGGGGCAGACTCTTTGGTGAGGCAGCCGCCCATCTGCGGAGGAAAGGGTGACAGCATGGACAACCCAGGGGTGGGAAGTGGATGGGGGGAACTAGGGTCAGCCTCTGAGAGATTCACCAAAACACAATTTTTGATGTGTCTCAGATTTGTTAAATGATCTTCATGGTTGAACTGCCTTTTGACAGAATCGTCATCTTTGATAGAGCTCAATTTCTCAGCAGTGAAGTTACGCGGACCTGCATAGACCTTTCTGCCTTCCTCTTGAGGACTCCTCTCATTTTCAGCATCATAGTCAGAGAAATACGCTGAATCCCTGTATGGGTTCTTATCAGTCAGGCCCTTTAAGTGTAGCTCTGAAGTGTTTGTGGAAGTGCAGACCCCTTGGCCTAAACCCACCTGCAGAACTAGTTCAGGTTCTCCACCAAGCCTTGGGCTCCTCTCACCACCCCGGGGATCTCCAAGCTCTTTGAAGATAAACTCTGGAGATTCGTTGTTCTCTGTGTCATAGCCACTGTCCAGGGATTTGGGTAGGACAGGGGTATTGAAGGGATCAGGACTGAAGGCCTGATCACAGGTGCTTGCCATTGATGAGGACAGGTTAAGGGTGTCTACAGAGTCAGAAGTTCTCTCTGGATTCTTCAGTGGGCTCAGCTCTTCATCTTCTACCTCAGCATAGTCCAGGTTGAAGTCAGCAAAGATCCCTGACGTAATATCCGTGATGTCATCATCATCATCCTCACTGTAGTCACCAAGCTCAGCTAGGCTAATGCTGGAGTTTCTGACCCCGACTCCACTGTCCAATGCTCTGCTACTTTCTGATGTCTCTGGATAGTTTAGCCTCTTGTCCCCTAGACCAACAGAGATTCCTGCAGAAACTCCCTCCCAGATGTTACCTCTCTGCTTGACTGATAAGGCTCCGGTTTTACCAGTCTGAAGCTCATTGAAGGATGGGGACTTTATATAGCTGGCCTCAGGTATCATCTTAGGCTCAGAGTACAGTCTCTCTCCATTAAGCAACAATTGCTTTTCGTATTTTCCCTCAATTTTCCCACCCTCTGTACTTCTGGCATTAATAATACTTGAGCTGGTAAGAGAATTTCTTAGATTTTCTGCAGTTAAGTTCCTTTCCACTTGAGTGGCAGATTCCTCTCTTTCTTTGTGATATAAGTGAATGTATGAACCTAATTCAGTGGTTTTGCTAGCAGCATTAGAACCATAGTCTTCTCCTTCTGCTTCAGAGGTGCCACAAGACCTGGAGCTGTGGAAGGTTCTGGTGGTGGCCTTGGTTAAAGACCATAATTCGTTTGTGTTAGAGTGATCAGTATATTGAAGGTCCAGATAGCCGTCATGCCCACTGGCTGTCTGCCTGCTGTCAAAGCTCAAGCTATTATTGTTTGCAGAATGGTTTGAAGTCCAGTTAGTGGGCTCTCCTTCAGAGAAAAGGTCATCCTCAATGTCTTCACCTCTTCGCTGGCCCACCAGCATGCCGTCGTCTGTCCCTACATCTATGCTAATGTGGTTAACAATTGGTAGTGTCTTTCTGATGGGACCTATCATATTATGGCAACTTTCATTAACTGTGCTACGACCTGTGCTCGCTTCAAGGTAGGGATCGCAAAACCCTAAGCTGGGGCTGCTCACTGCTTGTGACAAACTGCGTGGGTTTTCTAAACGCCCTACTGGATGGACAAGGTTTGATCTGGACTCTGGCGATGTGTCCAGTTCAGACAGAAAGGATTGACGGCGTGTTGTGTATGCTGATGACTGTTCACAGTAGACCATGTCATCCTGACTGGATGAGAAGCAGTTGTGCGAGTGGCCTAGCTTTACAGGACTGGTGCTGGATGCCTGTCTCAGCAGTGGCTCCATGGTTAGTTGAACAGTGGGGCTTGAATCAGAGTCATAGGCAGTAGACTTAGCGTTGTCAGCATTTGCCCAGTAAGCACTAGGTTGTGCCAAGGATGAACCAGTCCGACTCTCAGAGGACAATCTGCTGCTGCTAGCTTCCAGTCCTGGGCTGTAGTCCACTATGCTGTCATCCAGGTTAATGTTACACTCTACTGGTTCCTCTATGCGAATGTAGTACTCGCTGCTGACAGAGGGGCTATGGGCACTCAACACTGGGACCACACCCGGGTGTTCAGGTTCAAAGTAAGATGGGGATATGCCTGAGGTCAGGCTGTCAGTCTTGCAGCCCCCTGAGATGCTTCCTTTGCTTGAATAGTAGATATCCTGGTAATGAGGGTTCCCCTGGCCCAGTGGCCCACTGGTGGAGGAGGAGCAGTAGGGCTGCTCAGCTCTGGCCTGCTCCCACTTGTACTCAAAGTTGAGACCATGACTGGTCTCTGTGACAGTGAGTAGGTCGTCCCCTGTGTCAGAGTGGAAGCTATCAGAGAAGTGCTCTAGGAGGGGGAAGGAGGATGAGGCAGAGGAGGCCAGCTCCACTGCTTGAGTTTGTTCTGCACTGGGGTCGTCAGCTGAGGCAGGTGTAGGGGTCAGGTTCAGTGCTGTGGATGTCGCTGTATGGGAGGTGCTACCGAGCAGGTTGGGTCTCAAGGCATTCCAACGTTGTTCAAAGTCTTCCTCAGCCTCACTGGAGCCTTTGGCACACAAGTATGTGACCAGAAGGTGCACTTCCTCACTGCTGGGTCTCAGCTCTGGCTGCAGCCAGCAGAACTGCATCACCTCATACCTGGATGGAAATGACAGAAAGAGGAGAAATTATCAGATAAAATGTTTTACGTACGGAGAGCAAAAGATATGCAATATAAAAGAAAACTTTCGAGGCAACACCTAGTTATAGTTTGACAATAGCCAACGACATATAGAGTGTAAGGAGGAGGTGCAGTGTAGATGCTGCTGACATAGATGTTTACATTCCTCCTTGTGTGTGTGTGTGTGTGTGTGTGTGTGTGTGTGTGTGTGTGTGTGTGTGTGTGTGTGTGTGTGTGTGTGTTGCTACTCAGTGTTGGTTCCAAGCACATTTAATTTAGTGAAGAACAATTTTGAAAAATAAATAAATAAAACAATGTTTGGCTGGCATCCCAGGTAAAGATGAATGAGGTAATTCAACTCTGGTCAATGCCAAGGGGATCATAAATAATACGGAATGTATTGATCATCTGCCCTTGCTAGCAAAGAGAAATATTGCTACAGTGGACTGGTGCACCATCATAAGCAGAAACCAATTTTAAAAACAGGACCCACTGCCTTGTTAGAAATTAATTGGTCAGCAAGACCTGAAGGCTTAGTAATGTTTAAAATGTATCTTATGTGTATTGTATCAATACATATAACACTGAGTATCAACCTGTGCATGTTTATTTACATTTGTGTATGTATTCTGTGTGTGTAGGCATGCAACTATGTCTCACCAGCGCTCAGCCAGGGGGAATTGGAGCTGGGGTTTGGGTAGTTTGAGCTGTTGTTCCTTCACAGCATATGTCAACACCTGTCTGTCAGAGTAGTGTCTGTACGGCTGGTTTCCCAGCTCAAACAGCTCCCACACAGTCACCCCCAATGACCTGGAACAGGCAAAGAAATCATTAAGTGTGTTGACCAGACATGGCCATGTTCCATTAATTTCATACTGTGACCTTCTTTATTATATGTCACAAGTATATTTGTGCTGTACACATATTTCCCAAAGAGTTTCCCAGAAGATAACAAGAAAACACAACACGTTCCTGGATATGGGCTAAAACTGTAAATGTTGTTAGGACTAGTTTTAGATGCATCAACTCTCAAATACAAAAGAAAGAATTCTAGAAATACAATCCACATATCAAAATTAGAGCACTTAATTCCCATTTATACATACTACACAAAGAAAATAAATGTTACAATTGTAGTAATATTTACTGTTTATCACTCTTAAAATATCTTACCATATGTTGCTAGATTTTGTTTGATCAACGACCAGCAGGTTTCCATGGACCTCATCTATGAGCTCAGGTGCAATCCAGCGCAGAGGCACCCAGATCTGGTCTTGTGTTACATAGTAATCATCCTATAGGACAACACGACAAAATAAAAAAATATTTGAGTACTGATAGGCAATAAGGTAAAAAGTAGTCAATGAATAGTCAAAAGACAGTCTTACCTTGTATCGGCTGTGAGAAAGGCCATAGTCTCCAATCTTAACTGACATTTCTGAAGTAAGCAAGCAGTTTCGCAAAGCCAGGTCACTGTAAAAACAAAGGAAAGTGTTGTTTAAGATCAAGATTCAAGATTCAATTTATCAGATTCTTAGTAGGAGCGACAGAATCGTATGTGAGGGACAACATTGTTAAGTTAGAGTAGTATCTGGTTATTTTTCTTGGTTATTTTACTTTTTATCAACATTTAATCAAAATACAATGGCATTCGTAGAATTGTCTGGTTACTTTTCCAGGCAACTGTCAAACATGATTAAATCATAGTTTCTGAGTATGAAACTCTGTCCTTACTTAGATTTTTAAATGAAGTTTTCAGGGGATTTAAAGTATTGCAGCATTGTTTTATAACTGATACTTTAAATTCTAAATGGACTGTACTTATATAGAACCTTTCTAGTCTTTCCACTATTTAAAGCGCTGTACACTACATGCCACACTCACCCATCCGCACACATTCATTCATTCATACACTATTGGCAGTGGCAGCTCATCAGAAAGAGAAACTAAGGTTTATCTCCATTCATACACATTTACACAACTTGGGGTTCAGTATCTTGCTCAAGGACACTTCCTTGGAGCTTCCTGGAGCTTCCTTGAAACCACCAACCATCTGATTAGGGGACAACCCACTGTACCTCTGAGCCACAGCCTCCCACAAACATTACAATTTGTACCACTGTTACAGTATAGTCAGTATATTATTGTTATCATTATGTATACTATGCAAAGTTTTCTTATATCATATATATAACATATCACTAAATATTGGATGTGACATACTGTCAATAAATAGGTCTCACTGCATTATGATTGTCCTGTGTAGCCACAGAATTGATGAAAGCATATGATAAAATGTGTACAGTATAGTATGATGTACTGTTTCTTCTCTACTGGCCATGTAAAGACACAGACTAAATTAAGTCACTTTATTTAATCTCACCTCCTCCACTAACAGGGAGCTCTTTCGCCTGGCAGCCACTGATTGGTTGCTATGGCAGCCACCACATGGCTGCGAGAGGGGTTCGCCCCCGGCAACAAAATCACTGATGCTGGAGTTTGTGACACTACTCAGGCAGCACCAGGATGTTGTTGCAGGGAGAGACCAGCAGGGGGCGCACAGTACTTTCAGGTGGATTCCTCCTTTCTTGAGAATTGATATTGATGAAGGTAAATAGAGGTGAACTGACTAGACATACTGTACCTGTGTATAAAGTTGTATTTGTGGAGGTGAAGAAGCCCTGAGGCAATGTCACACGCCATTCGCTGGAGGATCAAAGGGTCAGGAGTCTCAGAGTCAGCCACACGACAACTGCGCAGGTAGCTCTTCAGATCACCCTGAGAGGAGAAAGGTAATGAGGTTGCTCTGACTGTTTATGAATAATCCAAAAAACAATTCACAAAGGGGATAATGTGGTACGTGGGAAGGACTGAACAGATAGAATTGGATCATCAATAAGTGTCCCACCAGAGGGCAAAACTCCATGACCAGCAGATAAGGAGTGACCTCTGAGCACTGTGCCAGGCACTGCAGTAGGGCAGGGTGCTGGAGGGTTCTGGCAGAGGAAACAGGATTTGAGTAAGTATGAATCAACAAAGGCCATACAAATAATCAGATCATTAATTTACGTTGTTTTATTGCTATATGATGCTATTTATGGGCTGAAGGGCAGTGATGTGTGAGAGATCACCCCATCTTTCAGCTCACCGGTATGGCTGCACCTCCTCCAGGAACTGCATCTGATCCTGGACACTGGCGCTGGCCTTCAGCTCCTTCACTACCACCTGGGTGGTGCTGAGGCCCGCATTGACTTCACCCAGCAGGACCTGAGAAGTATACAGATAGGAAACTCTAGGAATGTATACTATAATTTTTACTGTAACAAAGTGCATCAACAAACAGTTGCAAACTGAGAAAAACAAACAATAAAAAAAAAAAAAAGACATGACAAAGAGACTGGTGCATGACCAAATCATGAGCATGTACTGTACATTAAATTGTGAGGAATTCACTGTGACTGTGAATTTCAAAATTTCTCCCATGGAATAAACACCCTGGCACAAGTGCCAAAGATTAGCCACGCTAGAATGAGATCATCATCACATTACCCTCGCATTCCACACAGAGTAGAAAGGACATTGAAGTACAGTTGAAATGGTTAAAGCAAGTAATTATGAGTGCAAGAGTGGCATCTCTGGATGCAAACACTTTATGTGTGTGTTTGTGTGTATGTTTGTAAGAACAAGAAAGCATGTTTTACCTTGCCAAACCAACCGTGTCCAATCTCCTTTAGATACAGTAGACTATGGCGGCCAAGGTCTGATGATTTCAGAAGCTGGACTGGAAAGAGCAGTCAGAAAGACATAGTAATTAAGGGAAAAGAAAGAAAAAAAGAAGGATAAGTAAATTAAATAAGATTCTAAAATTTGAATAGAAATGGAGCCCTACAAGACAAGAAATCACTACAGAGTTAAGAAGAGATAAAAGCAACCTCCTCTCAGCCAGACAATAAATGTACATTTCCCTAAATAAATAGTCAATTAACTAAAGAGGAGAAATCGCCTGAAGGCAAATAAACCCAACTTATATCTACACGTTCAAGGAAGCTTCCCACCATCACACAAAAGTTCACTACAGAGGCACACCACAATTCCAAAAAAATTATACTTAAGTCGTGCACAAATTCAAATACCTCCATGGATCCTCATATTTAATGAACGGAGATGATGATGGTGAGTGGACAGATGATGATGCTGGCGGAGCAAAGGAGCGGCCAGCCACTCTGAGCACCGTGATAGGGACTGAATCCGAGTCCCAGGCAGGGATGAAGTACTGGTTCAGAGTGTGAGAACCGAGAGCCCATGGCCCCAGCCCCAACCCCAGGCGTCTTAGCCTCATTGTGTGTATGTGAGAAAGAGCCCACGGTCGCAGTGTGTGTGTGAGAGAGCCTCGGCAGGATTTAACCCTCGGAGCCCTCACACAGCTGAACAAGCTTGCCACGCTGCCTTTTCCTCATCTCCACCGAGCTCATTCTCCAACTGGGACACACACAAACACACACACTGTCCTCGTCTGGAGCTCTCCAGCTGTCGAGCAAACACCGAAATCCTTGGTTCCTATACAGACTATGTTTAAATCTACAGTGAACTGAGCAAGAGAGAAACTTCTCACGGACCAGTCTGCCGAAGGTTCTGCGAAGGAGATCTGGCCTGGCCGCTGAGATTTTCTGGTCATGGATCACGCCTGATGTGACCGTCACGCATGTTGGTAGTGTGCCGTTTGACGCGCCAGCTCTGTGTGCAGCTTCAAGACACCCAGTAGTGACATAAGGCCCACATAATGCCCCCCTGTCACCCAGGACAGCAGCATTCCTCAGCCAAACAGGACACAATTACTGCTTTGTCAGATGCAGAAAAGACCTCTGTCATACACACTCACCACCCCTATCTCAAGCCTCCCCTCCCCGCTCTTAGGTCCTGGTGCATGCCACCACCCTTCGCCTGTCTCTCCTCATTCTGTCACAGACCCTTCACTGTATTCTGCCCATAATGCCAGTCCTCCACTGGTGCGTTCCATGGACGTTTCAGGCCAGCCTTATGCTCACCCACCGCCCAGCCGGCCTAAATCAGGGCCATTGTTTGGCCCGCTCACTCACACGCTCACGCTACGTCTCCTGGTACCCAGTGCACCAAACACACACACACAAGCACGCAAACACTTATATGCAGACACACACAAGGCCCATTCTCCACTGGAACGCTGGGCAGAGGTTGTCACGATGATAACAGACCCACACTTCTCCAACCCAATCCTCCCCGAGCCTCCACCACCCCTCCCTGCCCGAGAGAGAAAGAGAAATTAAGAAGAGGTATTATTCCAAATGTGGAATGTGTGAGCATAAGTGTGCATTCCCGTCCTACTCATGGCATTCCCAGAGAAGATGGTAGGGTCCAATGACACTGACACGGGATCGGTGGGCCTGTGGAATGATACACACAATCGATTCACTCACTTTGATGCATTGAGAACTCTGTGGCGGGGTTTGAAAGCTTTACATGACCTCTTGAATAAAAGATTAGAGCGTGAAAAGCAGGACTGTGAAATCAGTGGCAAACGTTGTACTGTGTGTTCACACAGATGTATAAGTGATGCTTTGCTCATATAGAATACACCATTCATGGTAAGGGTAGAAACGTTATAACTGGTGTTTTTGTTCAACATGCAATTACTAGGCTCATCGTGTGTATGCCAGTGTGGGGGTGGACAATTTATGACATGGGCATAATTTTAATATCTATGGAGGAGTCTGTTCAGTCCTGGACCTGTAGCTTCTTGATGCAATATGAGATCATCCCCTCAATCGTTTAACATTTGTGCATGACATGGGCAATTTTGTCAGCTATTAGCAAAGCAAATGGAAAGGCTGCAAATATTAAACATTCCCAGTATGTAAAGAAGTTAATATAATAATACAACAGGTTTTACTGTCTTTACAGAAGAACAGAAGAATGAGTAAGAGATCTCTCTCTGACTCAGTGAAAGGAGACATTCTCCCCCTTTCACAATCTCATCTCCTTTCGCCATTTATCCATTCCTCTCCCTGCAACACCTGGACCAATCATACAGCCGTAGCTATGGAGGACAGAGGGGAGGCTAGTGATTGGCTGCAAGCCCGAGGCTGCCTTGTCCAATCATTGCTGGAGCAGCTCACATCCTAGGATGCTGAGCCCCAACTCACCTCCCTTCTGGCTGAGCACAGTGCAGCGCAGACACCCAGTGAGTCATACAGGGAGAGGCAGTTTGAGCACCCAGGATCTGGCTTACACAGAGATTCTCACACACACACACACACACACACACACACACACACACACACACACACACACACACACACACACACACGTAGTTGTGACACACCACCTGCATGTACATACACATTTTAACAGGCTGGGTGTGAGGCACAATGGCCTGAAGAAAAACAAACAGGATATGACGTTGCTGGGAAGGATCATGGATATAGAATACAAATTAAACACAACAGCATAATATGAGCAGCTGCCGGATTATGTAAGTTTCAAGTAAATTATGAATAAATGTCACATTATATTCATGTTGATTTAATGTTGCATGCATTTACAAACATACATGGGACCCCAGAAATAATGCACACTAGGCCTAGGTCAGATTCCTTCCTCTCCAGTGGGCTGCAGTTTTCACATACAGTATGCATCGCAGCACTGCAGTAGGTCTATTTCTAAAGGCGTTACACAATGGACAGATGTCTGTCTCTTGTTGAGACAGAGGGCAAAAAAGAAGAGACATGTAATGCGAGATAACAAATGAAAGAGGCCGTGTCTGTTTCAAATAATGTTGACAGAATGTGCTCAGTTTTATCTCATCCAAATCAACAAAGTGAGTGATATGTACCATAATGTAATCCCACTATGTTCCATAGAGGTAGCAACCTTTCTTAATAGTATGTTACTGTGGCAGAAATCCCCTTTTTATGATGAGCTGGGAATTAAAGCAGTAGGTAACTTATGAAAACCATATTTGCCTTAACTTTCACTATATCCTGACAGTAGTCCATGAGACAGATAAATGAGACTGTGAAAAAAGTCAGGTTCCTCTAGCAGCTAGAGTCTAGCTCATAATGGCATTTGCAAGAATCCACTGTGCCTGAATGAAAACAACCAGGCACGGTGGAATCAGAGAAACCTGATTTTCTCACAGATAATCTGTCTCATGTACTATCGTCAGCATATAGTGAAAGAAAGAAAATTTCACAAAAGTTATTTTTATTCATTCCTTTTATTATTAAGTTACCTACTGAAGCTATAAGACTGATTGCTGACATATGAGAGCTGAAAAGAGAGAAGAGGAGAGAAAAAGAACGAAAAACTAAACTGAAAACCTGGTCATTAAAAGTCCAAGCAGGTATAACTTAGAGGTGTTATGTGTTTATGGTGTTGTTCTTACTGGATCTGCCAGGCTGCTTGGAGACAGGCAGGGAGACCTCCGTGAGGGGAAGGATGTAGACCTCGGGTCCATTCTGGGAGGAAGGCGAGGCAAGGGCGGAGAGATCTGCCTGGTACTCCTCTCCCTCAGTGTTTTCAAACTCCTGGTGCAAAGACACATGCGGGGATTAGTCATCCACTCGCAGACATCCTACCACTGAGACAGTAGGACACAATGGTTCAACTGTGAAGGCATTCAAATGCACCGAGGCACGCCCACCTAGCCATATACATAAGTCATGTACATTGTGGGGTGTATTATGTGAGTCACTGCTAAGACGCTGTAGAGGAACACACTAATGTGTGTGTTCAAACTGTATACACAAAGCCTTTCTTTATTTCGTTCTGTCTTTTATTTCTCCCTCATGTACACGCATATATAAACCAAGGTTCTTATAAAATAAAACTAAAATCAAACTTAGTCAAAAAAAGCTGCATTTTACATACTTTAAATACTATAAGTAAGAAAATAACAATAAAACATGACTTCACATACATAGTTATACATGGCATTTTTCAAACCCATGAGTATCATTCTCGAAGGATGTGCTAGTTTTGGATACTTTACCACTTGCATCATGTCAAACATATCTGAGAGGAAACACCAGTGTGCCGATTATTTTGAGCCACAAGATTTAAACTGTGCTCTATCTACGAGTACATTGTAAGTACTAAAAAAATATTTAATACACAATAATGCTGCAAAAATACATAAAATATCTGTAAATGTCTCCCGTTATACCACCACGCAACTGCAAAATCCTTAATTGCAGTTACATTCTCTACTGTTTACTGTGCACTACGACAAAGATACAGACATAACATTTACAATGTAAATGCTAAATGTCCACACTACTTTCAAATAAGAGCAAAGAGAGCAAGAAAAAAACTCTTGCTCCCTTAACTGCATATTCACCCCCCTCCTCCCTGCTAAGATGGATGAGGACGAGAGGGAGTGGAAAACAGTGACCCTCTCTATTTCCTTCCATATACACCACATCCCATATCCTCTGCTCTGTCTGTCTGCTTTATCCACACTACGCCTCTTTCTGTCCCTGGTCCATTGCAATGTCCTTGCTCTCTAATTGTTGTAGTGTGACCCTATAGCACACTATATGTTTCTGTAAACCCCCATACAGCACAGTATGTCTTAGGAGCGCAGATCTTAAATCAAAAGGTAAGTCGTATTGCCTAAACCATGTTCAATGTGACACAGCACACAGTAGGAAGGAGACACTCATGTAGGAAGGATACTCTGCCCATACGAGAGAACAACTTTGCATTGTCCTCTCCAATGTCTCTCCTTTCCTTCCTCCTGTGAAGTCTAAAAATTGGAACTGTCTTCACTCACCCAAATAGCTATTATTTTGTGCTTTTAACACATAGACATGGATCAACCTTCTAGCTTTACATGTTAAGAAAAATAACAGAGCAGTAGATGATATACAGCCAGAGAAAACTGTATATTAACAGTAAACTAGACAAATTGTATAATCTGCAGCATGAGGCAGATCACAAGGTAGATTAGCAGAGTATTTTCAGTACAAGATTTATGAGAGTAAACAACTTCATGAGCTCATATAAAACCTTCAGAGTCCTACATGTTCAATTATAATTGCATTTATTTTTTATTGTACGCCTTTAATTCTTTGTCTGCTTTGGAGACAGTGCAACTGTTTTGTTCAGCAGATGCACTGGTCTCAAACCTAAATCCAGGAGGATTAATTTACTCCCCTAACTCTGGGCTGTGAGTAGGCTTGAATTGTGTAAATTGAGATCGCATTTTCTGGAAATTCTCACCAAAACCTACTCTTTCCCTGGAAGAAATGCCTGTAGGAACCCCACATTATTAGCATGTGTGCCTCAAACTGCCGAAATAACGCCGAAATTGCTGCATGTGGCATAATTTAGTTTGCTGCCACTGCATGCAATTATAACCTCAGCATTAAATGTGGTTATACATTCCCATAAAGCCAATATATTAAAGATGCTTTTTAATAGCTGTAAAACAAGAAGTGAGGATCGAATGATTCTTTATAATGGATGTGAGTCCACTAAAAAATTAAATAATACAAGAAAATGTAAATAAATCCTACTAAAAGACAGATACTGAAGGTAACAATCGTTTTTAAAAATGGCTCCAAATACTAAGCGGGCCACATTATTAGTCTTCTATATTTAACACAAACATGGCCAGATAGTGTTACACACTGGACTTCAATCTCTTATGGTTCACAGACTCTCACTATAGTCTCAGCTGCCCCCTGTGAACACCAGCATATCAGAGCACTCTGTACAATAATATGAATATTATAGTAGAGTAATAAATAACTATTGCAATAAAAATAATAACATTTTACTGACACTAGTAACTGACAAGCTGCAATTATAATGATTTTCTATAGCAGACATGGAAAAATCAAAGTCTCCCCTATTTCCATTAAATATATCAGGTTCTCAAGTCAAAGCCCCTCTTAATCCTGTCCTGACAGTGTCCTACCACAGGAAGAAACATCCCACAACAATTCAATTCAACAAGTCAATCTTGTTAGCAGTTTCTAAGAATGTGACTATGTTAGGAAACCAGGCTGGCAATAGTGCTCTGCTCACAAGCACCCATCCATCCATCCATCCGCTGGCTAACGAACTGTTACCTATAACAAGCCTATCTACCACTTGCAGCAACCACAGAGGTAAAGAAAGGAGAAAAAGTGAAGAGAAAAAAGGAGGAAAGCAGGAGGGTGGGATAATATGAAATATCTGAATGGCTCATTGTGTGTGTGTGTGTGTGTGTTTGTGTGTGTTTGTGTGTTTTTACATGTGTCCTAAAACACCAGTGTGTATATAGGAATGTGTGTTTTTCATTCAGGAGAACCATCTGCCACTCTCCTCAGAGCGAAGTGTGAAAGCGGGCACCTGGCTGTGAGTCAGCGTTGCATAGCTCCCCAGAGAGCCTTCAGTTTAGAAAGCACTTAATACCCAGCCTCACACTACGCGCTCCAGTAAGAGCACCGCGATGGAGAGGAATAATGAAGCTTTTTTGGACGGCGCAGCGGTGCGATTTTGCAGTCCCACACGAATGCGCACCTTACAAGCGAGCTGCTGAGTGACGAGCTGGTGCCAAAGATAGGGAAAAAGAGTGAGAACCTTTCAACCATTATGTGGCGTTTGCTGCCAAACTCGGAGAGGAAGAATAAGATTTAATAGCTTTGAAGCTTAATGATTAAAATACATCAACCATTATACCAGCTTGCCTTTTCTGGAATTACAACGAACCATGATCAAGACAACAGGCACATATTTTATTTACATAACTCTCAATTTGTTTTAAATGGATGGATGGAAAAATAACGCTTCTCTCCAAATCGTTTTTCACGCACACACCAGTGGCCGCAAGCTACCACACAGGGTGCTTTTGGGGTTTGGAGTTCAGTGTCTTGCCAAAGGACACTTCAACTTATGAACAAGAAGAGGTGGGGATCCAACTGCCAATCATGTCACCAGTGTCCGCTCTACCTCCTGAGCCACAGCCGTCCCTTTCAGCATAATTAAAACAAATTTTCTGACAGAGAAGATTCCTTGCTACAGTTTGCATTGTTGTTATTATAATGCTTTCACTGCCTTTTTCTCAAATGAATACCACACATTTACTGTAACTGTCATATTACCTGTCATTATTATTTGTGGCCCAATTTGAGTGAGTCAGATCTCAGTAAAGCTACACTTTAAAATCCAGAATAACAAAAACTCGTGCCTGCTACTTTTGTCCAATGATTGTTAGAGTGACCTGGCACGGTGTCTCAAAAATGATTTTCTTTTTCTATCCCCACCTCTTTTATAACATATTAAAAATAAGATAAACCCAGCATACAGTATGTGCTAAAACATCACAGTCAGGGTGGCATAATGGTTCATTACTGTCACTTTGCCCTTCAGGTCCAGGGCAGCTGTAAGCTAAACTTTCACCCAGAACGCTCTGATGTCAGGCCGCTGTAAGACAATATATCTGCATGAATCAATAGTATCATATTGGTATGTTAACCAGACTTAAAGGGAAAGTATTATTCAACCTGACCCTATTTTCCCACGTTTTTGTGTCTAAGTAACTACTGGGGACAACAACTTTTTAAACTGGTCTAGTATTGAGCGAGAGTGCTGCAACCAGCAGCCATGAAATGTACTGCTATGTAATCCTTTGGGGCAACTATGCACTGTCAGTGTACATCCACTAAAAGTGCTTGTTTTTTCTACTGACAGGTTCACCTTGTTGTGTGTCTGACAGTGACAACATCATGGAAAAGACCCTACAAACTTGACGTTTAGCCGTTAAATCGCTCAGTTCAAGGAGTTGCTGGTCTACCGCTGATTCAATCAGTTAGTTTGTTTGTGTAAATGTGTCACTTTGGTGTTTTTACATGTTAGTTTGAACTCACTAACAACTCCCGTGTTCTGCGATGTAAAATTGCTGTTTTCTTTCTCTGATGCTGTTTTAGCAACTGGGGCCATCCTAAAGCAGGCCAATAGAAGGCAGAAACAAACCTAGACTCCTACTGTTCCTGCAGGTTATTAAAATACACTTTCACATAATGAGGCAGAGGCAATCTGGCGTGGGACAGACAAGACGTGGGCACACACACACACACACAGACAGACACACACAGACAGACACACACACACACACACACACACACACAGACGTAGGGAAAGTTGTTAATGATGGCTCATTAGTGACACTGTTATCCCTGCAGTATCTACCTACCACAGGCTGTTCCCACAGTTGAGTGTGAACACTGAAGCACAGACCTGACTCTTACCACATACATAAGCAAGAAACAAGCTTCTATACTCTCATCGTTTCTCCTGTCCTCTTTAGTGCCTTCTGCAGCTCTTTAAACAACAACAAAAAGCCAAGCATGGCTTTCATTTTATTATCCACATTATTCCTAGCTCCCATAA